AACCGTGTCTTTTTGCGACTTGAAATGGGTCGCCGACCGTCGGGACTTAGGTGCAAACAGCGGTTCCAGGACCTGTCCGAACGAACGTGCAACAGCGTGAGGTCGCGTTCGGTCGCGTTAGTCGGACTAAACATTCAGGTGGATGGAGGGGGATGTCACGGTCAAACCAAACCAAACCACGAATTAGTGTTGTGTTCGCCTTGTTTGATTCCCTATGTTTCTTAAGTATAGACAAGGGCACGGGTGCCAATGGCCCCGCTGTGTCTGCACGCTTGACAATGTGACATTTGTCCAAAACTGTGGTTTCGTTGTGTTTTGTGTATTTGCATGTGTTTGCCTGCTTTTGAGTGGTTTACCAGAACTTTTGTTGGTCATAGCGTTTGTCTCATCAGATTTGCTCACTTTAGTTTACCAAGATTACACAAGGCAACACTTTCTGGTACGGGGGGTAACTTTGTTGCACACATCCTTTGACGACTTCTTCTTCACAATCTCCGGGGCCTTCGTGACCTGGAACATCATTCGGATAATCATGAAGTTGATCTTCTCCGATCTCGACCCGCTTGGTGGGATCAAAACTGTTCAAACCCACCTTTGCTGAGATCATCAGAAGGCTCATTTTATTCATCCTTCCTCCCTTGCAGAAGGACCTCCCTGGGCGGGTGTCACCCTGGAAAACATGTTTATTATTCCAAGGTCATGGACAGATCAGGAATTAATCTCAGACACTCCATGTATGGCATATTTACATACATTGACCCCTAAAACCACCCCAACTGATCGGCAGTCCTATGGCAGTCCCATTAGTCGTGTCTGGGAATTGTTCCATGTTTGTCTCCCACGCTATTGAAACATTTGTTGGGAACACGATCCATGCGTCGCAGAATGCATCATATAACCTGTCAAGAGCTGGTTTGAACCCTCCTCCTCAAAAACTACTACGGTGGGTTCAGAGTAGATGGCACAAACCCCTACATGTGATATATAAATTCCATATGAAATACATTTTGGGGATTGTTCTACGCTGAAACCACTGTACTACTTTCAGAAATGTATCACATAATTGAACGATTGAAATGAGACAACCGGAGTTACCTGAAGGAACCTTCAGATGAGGGGCGCACAGGACATGACGCACACTACGCACATGAGTTAAAATGTTTTGCTGACGGATCTGTCCTGGTGGCTGTGATGTTGAATATTTGCAGGACTTTAACCCCCAGACCGGGATGCACTTGAATTTTGTCCTTTGTTATGATATTTTTTTAGGAACTTCCCCCCCGGCCGCAGGTGAGAACATGTCAAGCACTTTCAGAAACGCTATTCTGCAATCGCAAGTCTTAAAACATCTTCACACTATAGGGTTATTGATGGAATTGTTCTCGTCTCCATCTTCAAAGTATACTCAGTAGTTTTTTCAACTTCGAAGGTGCTTTTCCGGGGTCTTGAAACAATTTGACTACCTGTTGCTCTTCTATGATTGGTGATAGTGCTTTGCTATTTGTTGGTCAGACCGAAGGTTTCAGAAAGCTTGCAAATTTGCTCTCTCTCTCGCTCTCTGTGTCTTGCTCTTTCCCCCTGAGCCTTTACAACATCTTTGAACTTTCTCGAGGAACAGCAAACTTTCCATCTCCTTAGCATGTGATTGAAGTTTTCGTTGCCTTTACAGTAGTGTATCTCTGTTGGAGGTACTGTCCAATTCTTGCCGCAAGGCTGCCACACGCCACTTCTTGTTGAAGTGGAAAATGTCGCCCTTCGTGTCAATCAGGGTAGTCTTTGATCCTGCTTCATTATTCAAGTGGGTGTGTATCTTAATGCGGAGACCCCCACCAATGGGTTTTGGTATATTTCCCTTCTTCCGGAGGGTCTTTCGGAGGTCTCGCTATTTTAATACACACCCAAGTACTTCCGCATGTTGTTGCGCCCCACGGCGCACAGAAAGCACCAGTGAAGTATATAGATATTCTCAGCAATGATCTCCTTGTTGAAAGAAGTCTCAAAAGAAACCGGCTCAACTACAGCTCCGCTTCGAAGCTTTCGAAGCTTTCAACGCAGCTTTCTTCACAATTCACAAGGAAGGTCTGGATGGATCGTGTGCGTTCCCACGATCTTCAAAAGCACTTGGAGGAACTCCCAAAAGAAAGAAGAAGGGGACAAAATGCCATTGAGGACTTTCAAAGGACGCGATTGTCATGTTCCTTCAACGGCATCAGGAGGCGAACCGCTGGCACCGAACCGCTTCTGCAGTAGCCGCACGTAGAAGGAGCGCTGAGCGAGCTTCCCAAGCGCCTCCCCGCTATGCCGAAGCTTCAACTATGCCAAAGCGCTAGCAGCGACAACACTTCCACCTGAATGGAAAGGCTTGACCAGCAGCATCTGGAATTCTCCCTGGAAGGACAAACTCCTTTGCACAAGGCTTCACAGCTTTGTGGTTGATCCTTTCACAGGGTACCACGTTAACAGCGTGGGGCCGAAGTGGCACCCGCCAGCATCAATGACACGTTAACAGCGTGGGCACACTCGGTCCATTTCATCTTCCACCGGAACTCACAGACGTGCACAAACAAGCAACAACAGCCACCCTCAGGATCCCAAATCAGTCACCCTGAAACGCTCAAGGCTTTGCAATGGTCCAAACCTTATTCGTTGCCCGTCGCCAGCCGAGGTCGGGGGGCGCAGCCGGCGGATGTGCGGCTCCGGAGATAAAACCATCAATACATCCCCGTGTGAATTACGGGGTGGACGTTGGGGCCCCCATTCTATAGGTACAAAACGGCCGTGCCTGCTCCAGGTCTACAGAATAGCTGAACTGAGGCCCCCGCCAGTCTACAGAATCAGTGGCCTTCTGAAATGAAGCCTTTTTATCTTGCAACATTGAACATTACAAAAACATACAAAAACACTGTGTTTTTGAAGATTTGAGATTTGGGCGACAAAACATGGCTGAGGTCGGAAACTTATTCTGTAGGCAGGTCGATGTTGGGATAGTCAAAGGTCGTGCGAGTCATTTTGTAGACATTTTATGTTACTTTGGCATCGACCATAAGTATTCTATAGAACTGACGGTTCGGTGCCAATTTGTAGCCAAAAACTTGGCTCCCACCCATTCTATAGACTCTGGCGTCTCACAATCCTTTTCCTCTCTGCACACACAGTCTGTCTGTCACACACATCTTGCACCATCCGTCCCCAAGGGCTGGTAGCCTGTGTGTTCTCTACCATTATCCATCAGCACCTACGTGTTGCCTTTTTGGCAACTGAGCTGAAACACACTTCTTTATGATTCTTCATGGGCATCCTTGAAAAAACTCCGGCAAACAGGAAGGCAAAACATAAAGAACACAAAGGAATACCATGGAAGACCAAGGAAATCTGGCAGCTTAGCAGCAACATGGACAACTAACTCTACGAAATGTTAGAATGTCCAATGAGTTCCTACAAAATAGAAAAACTCACCATGAACAGCCTCCCTGCTGAATCTACTCTGGCTATCTCTAGCTACTCTTCTCCGCCCGGTCGAGCAGAAAGGCACAACACTAGCAGCTTAGCAGCTAAATGAAAAACTACATAAGAACAACTATTCTCATCTATTCTTGATTTATTTACTACAAAATGAAAGGATTACTAATGAGTCCCTACAAAATGAACACACTCGACATGAACAGCCTCCCTGCTCCAACCAATTCATTCCTATTCATTGCTATTCTAATTATGAACCCTCCGCACTAGCTACTCTTCTTCGCTGTAGCATTGATGAAGTCCGCCAAATCCTTCACCATGCGGAGCCAACCTGATCGCTTGGGAGGGGATCTGCTGAGCTGATCCTTGAGATTGAAGAGGACATTGGCCACCTGCTGCAACAGAAAGAATGCACATATATGCAAATTATATATCAAATCATTGTCATCTAACTCTATCTAACGCTGCGAAATAGATTCAACAAAATGATTTAGATAGCAGCTCCCAAGACAAGACGTGCCTGCTTTCCGTAAAGGTCACTGCTGCGATAATTGGCATACCTGAAGTGTTGCACTACAGAATAGGAAGAGCGTCAGTTGAGCACTACAGAATGACAGGCATTGTCCTCATTGTCATCAACTCCTGGTAAAACAAAAATAATCTATAAAATGCAACTATTAAATTTAAATTCTACACAATCAATCAACATGAGAGTGTCAAGGTGCATCGACTCCAAGGCGGCTGGTGAAGAATCAATGATTTGCTGGCGTGTGACCTTCTTGGCACTCTCATTGTTCAACCGGCATTTGCCATCACCACCAAACAGCAAACTGTGCTCGTGCTTTTCCTCATCAATCTCACAAAGGCGTGCCATCAGCGCCATGATCGCTTTTCGACCCTTCTCTGTCTTGCGAAAATCTTGGTCTCGAAGATCTTCCACAACAATTTCATCTGCCTTTCCACGAGGCTTCTTGCTTCCAGGCAGAAGCTCCTGGACCTCTTTATCAAGCTGCTGCGTGTCATCGGCCTTGCGCTTCCCTTTTCGAATCTGTGGTTTGCGCACGGCTGCTTTGACATACGGCTTCGTCACTGCTGTCCTCCCCCGGACCATGGTGGGATGAACTGGCCAGGGCTTCAGCTCAGAGACGCGGGACAATGCATCGGCAGATTGCTGTGTGAGGTAGATCTTCAGCATACCGTCGTTCCACATTGGGGTTGCACCTGCAATATTTGGGATGGTGTTGGAGAATTCTCTACAGAATCCAGGCCATCCAAAGGTGTCAAAACATGTAAAAACAAAAAATCAATACCTGTGTGGTGTCCAGGTAACTTTTTTCCACATCCAAGACCACTGCAAGGGAGTCAACCGGCACAACCCATGCAGTTGAAGTGTCTTTGCAACACCAGACTTTGTCTTTGTCCTGATATGGTCACTATACAATGAAAGGCCGCAATACTACTGTCTATAAAATGTGATTGACATTAAATGTTCCTTTCTTTTTGGCACACCAACCATTCAATTCAAATGGGTTCTAATATGTTCAAATGGGCTCCTGAGACTTCATATCCAAAACAAGCACCCTGAAGGCACTGATGCTGTTGATAGGGACCTCTCCACCAAACTGGCGTGGGTTCTTTATGCCCTTCCACACTGTCAGCACCATTCCGATCTCAAACTCTGGAGGCTGTTTCGGCTTGATGAAGATCACACAGTTTCCTGGCCTGGGAAGTGACTGAAACCCTGCATTCTGTAGAGGAACTTACTTGTGCACTTCAATTTTGTAGAAGAGGATAGAAAAATATCTCAGATATTTACCAGTGGATTACAAAGGTGTGAAGATTATAGTTTTATTATGTTTCATTTAGTTTTATGATCATTTAGGAAGATCTCTCTGTCTCAGTTTCCTTCTCTCGGCTGCCATGCGCAATGACCGTATCCATTCATTCTATAAACAAAATGTATTGCAAATTCCTTTTTGTAGAATGTAATCCAAGAGACATCAGTCGCTCCGGAGCAGACACTGGAAGCTGCAACTCCTTCTGAGAGCGCGTGCAGAGTTCGCGCCACTTCTCCAGGCGGCCCGCGCGAGAACGGTAGTGGACCTCGTCTTTTTCAGCCACAGCTGCAGCAATCTTTCTCTCATTGTACCTGCTGAAAGGAGCATAAAAAGGATCAGGGAATTGATCTGCGCTTTAGTTGAAGTTACGCACAACTTTACAAAATGAATATAAATGAATCAAAAACAATTGTAATGTAGCGCCAGGTACTGATGCCAATTGAGTGTTTTGGCCGCACGGCGGCAATTGCGCGCGTTGCGCAAAAACCCGACATCACATCCTCCTTTGGTGGAGCGGATCCGGAGCACCAATCTAAATAGATTGTTCCACATGTCGCCCTTCATCTGAAGAGCTTCTGTGAGCGTGGATGGCAAATAGTCATCTTTTGCGCGACCCTTTGGACTGACAGAAGTCTCAGATCTGAATGGACACTGTACGTTTTCCTTCTCACAAAGACCAATGAGCTCAGCCTTATCAGGTAAATCTTGAAGATCTACCTCTATCTCTCTCGGCTGTGTTGGTTCTGGAGCATTGGGCTCCTCAGTCTGATGAGCTTCTTCCATCACGCGCCTGCTTTCCTCCTGCAACCGGGTGAGCAAACTCAGGCAATCCGGCTTTTGATCAGCAACTGCATCCTCTGCTTGGAACTCCATCTCGTCCGGCTCCGGCTCAAAGTCCATCTGAAAGCTCCCCTCGTATTCACAAAGTTTGCGGTACGAAGCTTCCAGAAAAGGTTCCTTGACCCCACTGCATTTGGACGCCAGTGCTAGTGCAGCTTTCAAGGCTCTATCGCTGCACGCGATGAACCTGCATTCTGTAAAGGTGAATTGACATTCTATAGAGAGATATATGCATCAAAATTATTTTGTAGACACCAAAACTAAAACTATCCTGAAAGTAAAACTCATCATCACAAGGAACTCTTCCTCTGCCAGTGCAGGCTCCTTGTAAGACGTCGGGGTCTTCACTTTGTTGAGAGCCTTGCCATTCCTCATAAGCTGTCGTGCGCTGGCATACCAAAAGCTTCTGGCGGTCAGTTGCGAATTTTTGCTTTGGCCTCTCAAATAGGAGAACCAATGTTCTATTGGCAGTTCTGATGCTCTCGCGAACCCATATCTCCAAGGGTTCCAACCATCCTCCTTGCTGAAGCAAATCAGAGCGGTTGAAAGTGCAGAATTCTGCAAGGAAGCCACTGTTTGCCCGGCCATGTAGCAGGATCCCTTTGGCAAACCCATGTCCTCGCACCTTTCAGATGCCAGCATTTTGAATAGGTCTAGGCAACAAAATCCTGTGAGTGCCCACTCTGCACGCTCTGCCAAACTAATGTGAGTATGAAGCGCCGCTCCCACAACGAGCCCCACCACAAGATTGTGGATAAGAGCGCCTTTGGAGCTCCAACCAACCTGAAGGGAGTTCAGTGGCCCATCCTTAGTTGCACAAACAAAGTAACAACACTATAAAATTCAAGGACACTCAAAAGAGCTCTACAAAATGAAATGCCAAAGAAACAGGCTTGCTCGAACAAGACAACCAAAAGATTCATTCACACACTGACCATTAGTGACCAACAAACAAAACAACAAACTGCAGGAACTATATGGAACAAAACTGTATCTCAGGCTCCACTGAATCCACCAAAAAGAACGGGTTTGACAGTAGCGCTTGCAAGCGATCTGACATCGCCGACTCCCTTCCGAAAGCTGCTGGAGGTAGCCCGTTCTGCCTCGCCTGACCCATGTCCGTCGAATATCTTCCATACCACAATGTGCGCAAATGCGAACATAGCTGGCCTCCGCTGTTCTTGGACGCATGGCCTCAAGTCCACTGGATTGTTGGGAAGGAAAGTGGGAAGAAAATGAAACAATTTGTAAGTCCTGGTAAATCCAACAATTCTGTAGACACTTATTGTTATCAAAACAGTGTTATAGCAATCAAACAAAATCTGAGCCATTCTGTAGAAGACATCCTCACCCCCCCTTCGGACACACTTGCAACTGAAAGGCAAATTCCAGGAATGAACCATATCGTTTTGTTGTCATGCTTGGCTATCCTGATCGGTAAACGTGGCAAAGTAGTCTTTGGCATCGGAATGTGCACGATCTTGTTGAACCAAGGCATTTCACGTAGCACAGCTGCATCCAATCCCTCGAGGTGCCCAAAGATGATCCTCCCAATGAAGGCATGTGAGGAATGGGCATCACACACCAAGCCCCTTACCAAGCCATCACTTCCTTCCATGACCCGGCCAATGGTGTCCACCATGTACCACTGACCCCTGTTCATACCTCCTACACCCTGGAAGTTGTGTTGAATCGGCATAGAGCACGGACTCAAGGATATCCGGTGCTTGAGGCTTGGATCCCACACCAAGCATTCCATCATGGTCGCTGCAAGCGGTGTGCCCTTGACATCGACCATCTCATCTGTGTCCAAGCTGATGCAAGCATTTTCCGGAGTCTGGGGGCTCCAAATGCCTCCCACCATGGCATGTTGGTCGTGAATTGCCATTTGCGTCAAAGTCTGGGTCAAGTAGGTGCAGTCGAATGCAAGCAGAAAGCGGCCTGCAGCTTCCAGGGAGCTTGCAACTTCTACAAAATGGATGGCTCTGAATATATTAAAGACAGCCATACATTTTATAGACCATCTCCCTGTTTCATGTGATTCTGTAGGGGTAACCCAACTGGAACACCAGAAGATAATAGAAAAAACATAGAAAAATGAAAAAACGAGAAACCAAACAAGGACAAGCATGGACAAGAAACATCGGTCATTGTCTGGACATGATGGAGATCGTTGATCTATGAGGCGGAAGTTGTTGGCAAGCTTTTCGGGCCAAAGAAGTGATAGTGCTGGGTTTGGCAAAGAGTTCTTTTCTAGCTCATCAAGCGCCGTTTTGTAGGCACCCACCGCCAGTCCGAACATCTGAGCCAACTCTTTGTTGCCTGAGGCCATCGATAACTGGAGACCAGCGTCACGGATCAATTGCTCTTCCAGGGCCGATTCCTTGAACCGCCGGCCACGCATCGTCTCAATGCCCTTCTGAAGTTTGCTCACCTGTCTGAAGCATTGCAGACTCAACCCATGGATCAAGGGGTGACCCTCTAAAGAGCCTGACAAAGCTCCTGCAGCGATCTTGATGTTGGCTGTGTCTTGCTCTGTCGCCTGCCCCCCGCAAATAATGGCATCAAATCGAGCCACAACATCCGCCAGTTGTTCTGGTACATTGTCCACTCGGCATTGCAAGCACGGCGACACAACAGATGCATTGAATGTCCGCGCAGCACTTGACATGCCTGTGGGGCTCTCGCTCAAGAAGCTGGCGCGGACAAATTGTTGGAGCTTTGAACTTTCCAGCTGCATGATTCCCCTCATTTTCTTGGGGTCGTGTGCGTACAATTGGCTCTCACAGATCTCCTTCTCCACTGCATCCGCCCCTGTGGAGCCTTGGAACAAGCGAGCACAAAGGAGACGAGCGCTGAAGAACTTCACAGAGAAGCGTGCGACAGATCTAACAACAGAGTGGGCACTCCCCAAGGCAATGCATTCCTTGCAGCACTGGTGATTCCTTGTATTGACGTACTCACACCTTTTTGAACAGCCTTGGGCACGAATGTACCAACTGTCTTCACTGGCAACATACCAATAGGTGTGTTTGGCGTACTTGCCAAAACTTGCCATGCCAGCCCAATGTGTAAAGTCCGTCCTCCATGTATACAGGTGCCCGGCAAGTTCCGCATCAGATATTGGCAAGCCCTCGCAATCGACCTCAACTGCGGGAGCTTCCTGCGATTGCCTTTTCAGGCGCATCTGGTGCGTCTGTGAGTTGATGTGCTGGGAGATGAAGTGCTTGACTGTGGATGTCTTGGCCGCGCAACAATCACCTACCTTTCCTTCCGGCCAGGTTTTGGTGACGCAGAGCGTGCATCTGTATGGGAACTTCTTGCCGTGCTGGCCGGGAGGCAGGAGCTCTATTGTTGGCGCCTGCGCCTTTGCATATGCAAAGGGGTCCTCATCAGAATCAGCGGCGGCTTCCCCCTCCTTCTCCATGTCCGTGGCGTTTTTGGTCTTCTCCTTCCCATGTTCTTGCTTCCGCTTTGCTTTCCGCTTTGGCTTTCCCTCCCCCTGCTCATCCTGGTCGGTGCCCTCAACTTCTGCTGCTTGCGGAACGGGCTCGGGTTCTTCTCCATTGAGGAACATGCTCACCACAGACTGGAGATCATCCTCGTTGAATTTGCAGAAGTCCAGCAGTTCTTGACACGCTTTGCATTGTGCCAGATAGACTGCATGAGAGTTAGACAGTTTGTAGATGAGCTTCTCCTGCAAGGAAACGTAGCCACCGTTGCTGCAATGATTGATCTTCTTCATTGGTGCATGCCTGGTGAAAGTGGATGTGAAGAATTCTACAGAATGAATGGATGTCAAGAACGGTCTCTACAAAGTGGTGGGCTTGAGAATTCGTTTGCATTGCCTTTTGAGAACATAATGGAGGGTAAGTTGGAGGGTACACTGAAAGATCTGACCAGATCTGACCAGTGTGTAATGAATCACTAGTTTAATCCCTTCTGTGATTTAAAAATATTTGGAAAACCATATATTGTATAGTAAATTACTCTTTAGACTGCTATTCTGTAGAAGCATCATGACCTTTTCTCAGACCCAGCCTTGAATGAACTTTCCGGAATGCTGGCCAGGTCAGTTGGATAGTTGCAAGGTAGTGCCGGACAGCTCTCCTCCTTTTGTCGCTTTCAGAGAGATCAATAGCTTTGCATTGTCGACGATGTCTTCCCCGGCGGTGTCTTGGTCGAAATCCCGCGCCCAAGTCATCGTCTGTATCTTCATCTCCCCTGTGTTCAGGCATGCTGCCTTTTGGCTTCAGAAGAGTTTCGTTCTGCTCAGCAGGTGTCCCAAATGGAGCAGGCCGGCAAGCAGCAACTGTCTCAGCCTTGGCTGGATCAGGCTTGTTCGACTTCTGTTCAGCTTCCTGCATCATCTTCATCTCATTCATAAATTTGTTCACCTCATCCCCGCACAAAAACTCAAAGATGGTTTGCCACTCCCATTGGTCAGCCACCTTGAACCAGGCGTCTGATATTTCTTCACGCAGTTGTGTCATTTCCTTTTTCAATTTCCGGCATGGTTTGACATCACGACATGTGAGCAAAGAGAACAAAGTTTTCGGATCTATTCTCTCAGAGGGCAACTGGCCTTGCAAAAGGGCCAAAAGTGCCCAAGCTCCGCAATTGCCCTCTCCTGGCACATCTGCCACCACCAATCCCCAATTGTCAAAGGCATTCTGTATGAAATCGCAGGTTGCTTGGACGCCTTCACCCCCCATAATTGCGACCCTGTTCTTCAGACTCTCCAACACTGCGTTCATATCCGTGTCGTCTGGAAAGAAGCTCGCAGGCCAAGCTGGCAGCCAGTGGTTCAATGCGGAAACGTTCTGGCCATCCCACTTCCGCAATGAGGCAGGCGTGCTGACAACGTACCACTCACCGAAGTCTTCACCCTCTAGAACTTCTTGAACCTGGAATTTGGAAACCAGAAAGCACCCAGATGCGCTACAAAATAACAGAACCCATACTGTCGCTTACAAAATAAAAAGAAACATACAAACAGCAAACGCTCAAGGTTTCACTGAGGAGCCTCCAGACCCATGATCTCTTGCAAGTATTCGGCTATTGGCTGAATTTGGGCATCGTCCTGGTGAACGAGCAAATGCAGTCTACAACCACTCATATAGCTGTAAAGTATGATGTCAATGAGCTCCAAGTAAACTCCATCGCCCCGGACATTCACAGCGTGTTGGGTCAATACAAGCCTTAGCAACTCTGCCTTTTTCACTTCGCCAACGCTTCTGCACCTCAAAACTGGCTCATTCTCAGGGTCGTCATATGAGTCGTCATACTGCAGATGTCCTGAAGAATTCGCCGGTTCCTTCTTCACTGTCGTTGTAGTTGGCTTTGTTTTGACCTCTGACGTGGCTGTAGGAACTGGCGGAGAAGCGACAGTCCCAGTTCTCCTGATGAAACAATCACATACAATCACACGAAGGCCGGAAGCAAACATTGTATCCCACTTTTCTGTAGCCCCAGCTTGCAACAGACCATTCTGTAGAAAAAAAGAGAACACGCAATTGAGCCCAAGTTTCTCCAATTCTTTGTTTTGATCATCTGGTGTCAAAAGGCTTGGATCAGCAACGCGTCTGAGTCTTCTACGTGGCCTAGGAAGTCCGTGATTGTCCAGCAACTGCAGAGAGAGAAAACACGAAACACATTTAAACAAATGTATACCAGATTGAAGTGAGTTGCGGAGTTGCGACATCACCAGAAAATGATGCTTGGGAAGTCCTTGCGCGTACAAGAAGCATTGAGAAGCACCGGGAACTGTGAGAGTGCTCTGTGCTGCTCTAAAGACTCTTGTGAGTGATTGCTTGAACATCCATTTTGTAAGCGTTTTCCACACTACCCTTCATTCTGTAGAGACTCTACAGAAACTCCTGTAGTTTCCATGCTCTTGAATTACGAACCTTTCAGAATTTACATGGTTCACCCACTCACTCTGCACATGGCCAGATCTACAATCGCACCGGAATCACAAAGCCTTGCCCTAAGCTTTGGCTTCTTCTGTCTCTTTGTTCTGCCGTGGCTGGCAGACAAGAACTAGCCCACAATCCACGCATTTCTGTCTCCGTACATAGCCATTGCTTCCATGCCAGCTAGTGTTTTTGTGACTGCATGTTGAGACAGCGGCGCAGGGACTGGCCGGACTGGTAGCAGAGGGTGTTTGCTCAAAAGGCTGGTAGTCCGCCCACTGGAAGAAAGTACATTTTTTTGTTCCACTGCAACGCCAAAAGACACGGCCATATGTTGCTTCATTCCGAGACATCCAAAGACCACAATGCTGTTGGTGGAAACATGTGGGTCTGGTCTCTGCTGCCTCAGCCTGTTGAAGGTACCAGCCATCAAGCTTGGCACTGCGTACTCCTGATGATCCCTTCGGTGGCTTGGGAGGATTTGGGCCACCTGAGCCTGAAGAAGGCTCCACAAAATCCCAACCGCTGTCGTCTGGAACAGGCTGTGTGGACTTTGGCTCCAGTTGTTGCAACAGGTAGCCAAACAAGCGGAGGAATGCCAAGAGAAAGGCCACTAGAAGTCTGGACAATGACATAGCTGGCTGAGATGGACCCTCTCGGGAAGACATCATATATTGGCGGTTTGTACCAGTTTTCCACACCCTAGTTTACCCTAGTGTGGTTCTCAGCCAAATTGCTACAGTGCACTACAGTCATAAAGGAAATACTTGCAGCTCTTGACATTCTGTAGAAAACATAAAGTTGCATTGCATTTTGTAGAGTTATCAAAGCATCTGAGAAGCAAACGTTTTCTTTGCAGACGCCGGGCCCTGCTCAACTGCCTCCTGAAGCAACCCATGTACTCTCGGGATCTCTCGGGTGACTAGTGTGTAGTGAAATTTCCAGACAATGCCAGACTCCTTCTTGATGCTTTGCATGCCAGACTTCTTTGTGCTTTGCATCCTGAGCGAAGCATTCCCCCGAAAAGAATAGCAAATATACATGCACTTTCTTTCTATAGATGCAGTACTTCGTATGGCATATTTTGTAAAGCATTCTAAAATATTCTAAAGCCATCTTTAAAGCCCAGCCCTGTGTCAATTCCAAGGCTCGTTTCCTGCTTCTTTGTATTGTCCTGCCCCATACAAAGCAGCCAATGGAAACAACAAACACAAAAACATGTCTAAACAAAACCCGAAGATTCATGAAGATTCCACAAAATCGATCAAAATCGTCTACAAGATGCACTACAAAAAACCCTGCACGCAGACTCCTGTGAAGAGATTTCCTGAGGGAGGACCAGGCCGTCCTTGTCCAGGACTTGCTCCCTGATTGGAACAATTTCTACATAAAAACCATTGGATTTCTTATTCTGTAGACTTTGCACTGCACATACTGCATTCTGTAGACACATGTTTTTGCGAGCTCTTGAAAATCTTGAAAATATAGTCCGAAAGACGCGTCCATGTGCTCCTCCATCTGGGAATCTGGGTCCTGGAAGAGACTCATGAAAAGACAATCAACAAGTAGACACATACAACAAAATATAAAACATACAAAAACCATCAAACACCTAACTGCAATATACTGCTATAAGATCTGCACTACAAAAACCCAACACCAAGCCTGCCAGGAAGAGCTTTGCTCAGGGAAGTCCCTGTTGTCATTCTCCAGGATTTGCCCCCTGATCGGGACATATGTGTGGAAGAAGTCATGGACATCCTTTTGTTTTGTAGACTCTGAGCTTTACATATTGCATTCTGTAGACGTATCTCTGCGACCCCTCCACAATACAGTCCGAGAGTCGTTTCCATGTGCCCTGGTACCTTTGCTGGGCTCTCCTCCATCTGCAGTTTCGGGTCCTGGAAGAGACACAAAGAGAATCAAAGAGGCAAGAATGAAATAGATCTAAATAGACCAAAAAGATCCAAAAAGCTCCAAATAGATCCAAATAGAGCTGTTACATACTACTACCAGATCAAGAACCGGTGCACTACAAAAAGCCAGCACCTAGCCTCCTCTGCACAGACCTTCCCACACATGTCCACGTCTTCCTTCTCCGGGATCTGCTTCCTGATTGGAATGAAGTCTGTGCAAAAAA